CGGCCCGAGGCAAGTTTTAGGATGGAGCGAGATCCTATTATGGCGCCCCCTTGGTTGCCCCTAATTATATCCTTTAATTTTCTTTACCACTGAGGCGCCCCCCAAGACTTGGCGCCTGGAGCGGCTGCTCCGTTAGCCCTATGGTAGGGCCGGCTCTGAATCAATGTACGGGTATTTACGTTCATTGCAATTTTCATTTGCCATTTAGTGTCCAGTCCAATCTGTTTGCAATTTAGAACTCAATTAAAGTGAGATTTTTATAGCCGAAAAGATATATAATATACTGTACAGTACATATACTCTGTTCTGTACTTGACCTCCGATGCAGTTGCTTTTCACATGGCCAACTCTATGTATCGTGCTCGCGTGTTAGTAGCTGAAAATCTTTGTTCGTTTGTGCCCCTGATGATAAAACTCGAAATGTTGTAAATTGGGAGGTTATTCAATAAGTTTATCAAGAAAATATTCCACACCTTTAATAGGAATATTACCAATCTGTAACTAAATTCTGTGCAGATATATTTACTTACCTAAATAATATAGTATCACAAAATAAGTATCTATGGTCAACGACTGGTAACACTTCTAGTATTGATACTTCAATAATTCTGTCACTGCTGTTGTCGTCATTCATGTGCTTGATTGCCCTAAGTTTAAACCTTTTCTTTATATCAAACCACACTCACTACATTCTATTTTATTTAAGGTATAACGAGTTCCTGGACGTTGACAGTGCGATAAACGCGCTAGTTTTACTTTTCGAATCTTTACTTTCCTTTGGAATATTTTTTGTTATATTTTTTGATAGTTATTAAATTTAAGTCCCTACATATTTATTTAACTCTTAATTTAAGTACAGTCATTACAATTTTTAGCATTTTCACCAATCGCTCTGTTATATATGACAGAGCTATTAGTCAAAAAATAACACTCCTACTAGATTTTTACATGTTTGGACCAATGTTCCCTCTAATTTTTTTGTCGATGAGCGGAACATATACTTCTCTGAGCAAAAAAAATTTTTGCTGAGCAGATTCTGAGCAAAAAATTTTTCTGATCATATATATAGGGGAGATCGGGGCAAGATCGGCATGTTAAGCTTTACTTAAATTTTGTGTAATAAATACTGCTGTAAACTGAAAAAAAAGCTTTGCATATTGTCTATTGGAATGTTACCTTACT